ATGGTTTCGGCGAGCTGAAACCCAGTTCAGGCTGAAGAACATTGTGAAAGCGACCACCAAGGCAGACCACATCGTAGCCGTCCTACCTGAGGAAGTTTTTCACCGGATAGCCCCTTGGTTAGACAGCCAGCCAGATGACATTGAATACGATATGTTGAAGCAGGAGCTTTTGAAGGAGTTCTCTTTCTCCATTTGAGAGGGCGCGACAGATCCTCAACATCCCCAACACACCGCTTGGAGACTGGGCTCCTAAACAAGTCTGGCAAGAAATCAACACCCTATGCCGCCTCCCCACCAAAGACGAACAAAGTAAGTTCCACAAAGTGGATCTTAAAAAAGAAATTTGGCTCCGCTCTCTCCCCGGCAATATCAGGGAGAAGCTCCACGATTCGGACGAGCCGGCCATGGATATCCTCCTCACCAGAACCAATGCACTGATGGAAGCCCATCGACAAGCCCGCCCGCAGTCAACAGCACCTGCCAGTACCGACATCTATGCAGCAACTCCCCGAGGAGTCAACAACCCGAAGCCCTTCACCCCATTCCTTGCTGCAGACGGCATCTGCTCCTACCACAAGAGGTTCGGCAGCGCAGACTATAATTGTCTGGATGGATGCACGTGGAGACCTCAGGGACATCCAAAAAAACACGGAAGTTGGCCGCTAAATAACGTGGCCACAACCCCAATCAACGCAGCAGCTGCCCAAAGGACCAACACGAACTGGAGGCCCTTCGCCCGTTACCTTGCCGCAGACGGTATCTGCTCGTACCACAAGCGGTTCAGCAACGCGGCCTACCATTGCCTCAACGGATGTAGATGGAAGCCTCGAAGACATCCACAACAACAGGGAAGGTGGCCAATATGCAACACAGCCACAACACTGAACAGCGCAGTCAACCGCCCCCGACGCCCAGCTCTACCTCACTGCAAATGACTGCATGACCAACCCTTCATCGGCCCGAGCGACACGCAGCGAGAGGACCTCCGCCGGGTGGCCCGGAAATCGCTCCCAGCAGACCAACCCGAAACTCGCATCACCCGTTCTACACCCCGCCAGGACTGGATACGGCCAAGTTCGTCTCCGTGACGACACCCAGCGCCAGCCACTGTCTTGCGCTTACAGGGGTCTCGCCATGTTTGCCTGCCGGCTGACTCGGCGTAAGGGCAATTATGCCGAGTGATGTGAGGTAATTACGCAAAGAGAGGCAGCGCCGGTGGCGAGGTGATTGTGGCCTCTGCCACACACACACACACACACACACACACACACACACACACACACACACACACACACACACACACACACACACACACACACACACACACACACACACATATATATATACCATTGCCTCAATATATATATATATATATATATATATATATATATATATATATATATATATATATATATATATATATATATATATACCATTGTCTCAATATATATATATATATATATATATATATATATATATATATATATATATTATATATATATATATGCACACACAGTTGACTCGGTAGGCAGGATGGATATCGAAGGGAATTTCAGATTTTAGTTTATGACAAAAAGGAATTGAATATCAAGCAAAAATAAATATTTATTGATCAAGCACACACACAATTTCAACATTATCATCATGAAACTGTGATGTGGAACATTATTATTTAATCATTATTATATTTTTTTGGTCTTTTTGTAACTTTGTCCAATCCTCCTTAGTTCCTGGAAGTCTACAGCTTGATATGTGGGTGACGATGACATGGATGAGGGTCACTCAGCGGTCTGACTCGGCTTGGTAGTGCTGAAAATTGCGGTTAATTATGGTTCTGGAAGTTACCTCCGATTTCAAGGAAGTTCTTCAAATAATTACTTAACGAAGCAGAAGGGTAAATGCCGAAAATGTACTCGCTCTGAATAGCAGCTGTAGAAAAAGCATCAGGTTTCAGAATATTGTGCATCTGTTCGGTATTCATGAAAGTCTTTTGGAAAAAAATCGAAGGCAAAAAAAAAATAACGCACACTATAGCTTGTTCTCGGTTCTACCAAGTGCCATGGCGTTTCAACACATCTACCTGCGTATGTTTAGCATGTTAGTATCAGGAACAACGAAATCTGAGGGCTGGCAAGGGGCACATCCACCAGCTTAAATGATTTTCTCGTCAGTCCTTTTAAGGGGAGTATCACACTGTGTCCGTGGTTTCTGTGGTGACACGGCCTTTAGTCTGTACTCTGAATATTTTTTGCAGCAAGTTGACCTGTTCAAATCTGAAAATTAACATGCCGTTTAAAACAGCGTCTAAATATAGTTTTGTCTAAGAATTGCAACTAAGTATGACGTGAAGGAGTGAGCATTGTATGCATCTATTATACCAAAGCCATATACAACGTGGTGTAAGAATAAACACAATAAAACACACTTACGAATATAGTGGGGCAACCTCTCGCCTCGATCGTTCAAGTTAATTTGAGTGCTGGGGCCTAAATGCAGCACAGCAATTTCAAAGTAATTACGCGTAAGCAGTCCCGAGTTACAGCGATATAGTGATATATACGGGTTGACATTAAAAAATCCGGCAATCGATAATCCGTTTCCTTCAAATTTCCGGCATTGATTTCGCAGTGCATTTTCAAATTTACCGTATTGGCGTTTTGATGACGCTGTGCTCCAGAATTAGCCGTTGGGTCTTGTTTGCATGTGCTAACAGGCAGTCCTGCTCATTTCTTCTCATTTTATAATTTCCTTGCTGCTGTAGAGCCCATGATGGATTCAGCAAAGAAAAGCGGTTGTGGAAGCCGTAAATGTTGTTATTGAATGCAGAAAAAGGCTAAAAAAACGATAGCGGTTTGTCTGTGAAAACCATTAACGAAACACATTTGTGAAACATTTGACACATGTTTTTCCTTTTGTGTTCAATGTTTTCTTGTCAAAGGTCTGTAAGCGTTGTTCTTTTCTGTTAAAAATATGCAGCATACGTTACCATAAAAAATCCGGCATCTTCGAAAATCCGGCACTCCTCAGGGCCGAAGGTTGCTGGATTTTTAAATATATATATATATATATATATATATATATATATATATATATATACATATATATACACATACATATATATGTATACATATATATATATATATATATAATATATATATATATATATTATATATATTATATATATATATATATATATATATATATATATATATATATATATATATATATATATACACACACACATACATACATACATCGAGCCACATGACTGTCGCATGTGAGTGTCCGATAATATCGGAATCGTTGGGCTCATGTCTGCGATTTGAAGTAAACGACCTCTGCCCGAGCATTTCGACGACGCCTCAGCGACAGCACAAGTTGCAGTTTGGGAAGCGGTATTAGTTTTGGAAAGTATTACAGATGTCTTATAAATTTTGGCTGTGTGTGTGACTCACCCTGGCAACAGACGCAATTGTCTCCATCACAGGCTGAACCCGGTATAACGATCTCACACTGCCCTGATTTCACACACTGTCCCTGGCATGTGGGTGTAGCTGAGCAGGTTGCAGGAGGTGGAGCGCAACATGTACAGCCGGAGCCTGCACATCCGTTGTTAATCACTCTTTCACCTGGTGCGCAAGTCAGCTTGCAAGTGCCATTTTGAGCATTGCAATTGGCTTGTGGAGTGCACTCTGTAGTTACAAAAAATAAGTCTTTACATACAAACATGTACATATAATTATTACACGCAGGTAAACACTCATATTTATATCTATTTATCTGTCTATATATATACACACATGCATGCACATATATACAAACACATATGCACACATATGTATACATACATATATAAATATATATATATGTATATACGATAATATAATATGTATATATATAATATACATATATGAATATATAAATATATGCATATAATACATATATATATATATATATATATATATATATATATATATATATATATATATATATATATATATATATATATATATATATACATATATATGTGTGTGTGCACATATACACAGACATGTATATACGTATATATACGTATATATACATACATAAATATAGACACATACATATATATTCATACACACACATATTTATATACACATATATACATATACAGTGTGTCAGTGCCTAACTATCAGTCAAGTCACGCAGCTGTTGCACATGCATCTTTGGGCATCCCTCTGGCAGTTCATGTAAACGACCATTTCAAACAGATTTCAACGCAGTTTCACAGAGGATTTATTAGCGATACCAGTGTTTCAGAATGCAATGGATATGTCATGTATATATATATATATATATATATATATATATATATATATATATATATATATATATATATATATTAATATATCTACGACTGTGTGTGTGACTCACCGAGGCAACAGACACAGTTTTCTCCACAGGCTGAACCTGGTATAACGATCTCACACTGCCTGGAGTCCACACACTGTCCCGGGCATGTGGGTGTAGCAGAGCAGGTTGCAGGAGGTGGAATGCAACATGTGCAACCGGAGCCTGAACATCCGTTGTTAAGCACTCTTTCATCTGGTGCGCAAGTCTGCTTGCAAGCGCCCCTTTGAGCAATGCAATTTTGTTCTCGAGTGCAGTCTGAAGAAATAGAAAGTAAGTCACGTACACGTTCAGGAATTTATCATAAAAAAATATATATATCGCTCTGAATTCAGCTAATAATTTGTTATTTCATAGGTCTTCAGATCGGCCAAATTGTGGCGATAGTCTTAGAAAACATTAAAATATGCGTTGATATAATTCAAATGACTTTCCGTGTGGCTAATCTGATGGTGTGGGTGAGTCCTGTCGCCTACAGAGTAATGCAGTCCCTTTTGACAGGGTGTTGAAAACCAACATCCGCGATAGTGCGAACGACACATTCCCCATCGTAATTGGTGACTAGCAATCATGGAAGAAAACAGTTGAGGCTGCCGTAAGCTGCGATACCA